AATAATTTAATGATACGTAAAATAAGATGTAATATTATGTAAGTCAAAAAGAACATTATAGTAGGTTTGTTCCAACACAGCAGGAAATCGTACAATGTACCGTCACGATTCTACGCAAAATCTAAAATTTGTGCATAGAATACGAAGTTCGTTTGCTGAGTGGTTTCGGAACCGTTCATAGGACGGTTTTTTGACGTAGTACAGAACTAATCTTTTAACCTTACTTGTTCAGGTGCATATCGTTGCCATAGATTAGCAGGTAGAGGAAAGACTAGAAGAGTAATGAAAAATTATTAGAATTCACGATCAAAAACGATTTTATTATTAGAGCTAATGGACTCTCACATATACACAAAGCCAAGAAATAATAGAAAAATCATAATATAGATATATGCCTGGATCCATTTTCGAAAGACAATAATTCTAGGCCGACTAGCCTATTTAGGGGCTTTCCGCATTCTTTGTTTCTGCAATTCCATCGCAGTGCCCCCGAGACTTTATATGGCGCTATAAATAATACGTCACCAATACAAGAATATATATCGTACTCCGGAGTAATATCTTCGGGAAGGAAGCATTAATTACCACATAAATTTGGATTCAGCCTTGGCAGTTCTCTTATTTACGACATTTTTTCTTCTTGTTTTCGTTAATGTGACAATTTTCCTATTCTTATTATCGTTCGATTTCCAGACATTACTGAATTCTTTGCCAAATTGGGACAAGGGCGTTCCGCGTTACCGAACTCATTCATCTCTAAATAGTATCATAAAGGACTGTAGTAGACTGTAAATAGGGAACAATATAGTTTCTAGAGTTGGCAATACCAAAAGATGATTAATTGCAAGCTACCTTTTTTTATAAATAAATCACGTATTCCTATATCCAATATTTCCTGATAAGCGTACTTAGAAAATAAAACAGAAATGTAAGTTTATAAAATATCTTGAATCGATAAATTGGACTACGAAAAAGATATAGGTACGAAAGCATTTTTTTCTTAAAATAATTCACTCTTGGTTATCCTAGCTCGATTAAAGTCTCCATTTCAAAGCAATAAATTTTATTTGAGGCAACACAAAACTAGCAGGTACCACGACACTCTGAAATATTTGAATTAAGCTTAACTGCTAGGAAAACTATATCACTACTAGCTAACCCGGCGAACTTCGTACCTCCTCTGAATTATTAAATACCTATCAAATGTTGTGTTAACGTATCTATTAACTGAATTAAATTCAGTTTTTTTCGATGGTGAATTTGGCTTTGGTCGAAGAAAATTAATTTTTACTCTCTGGATCTGAAGTCACCTAAAATTAAAATTTTACATCATCCCTTTTTAGGCATCTTGTGGGCATTATTCTTATAAAGTGTATCACGAAATAAATAAACTCAGGCACAGGAATGTTCAAAAAATGTAAAGAAAACAAAAAAAATCTCCAGCGCAGCCCTGTTTCATTTTATCTGCATTGCATGCACTGCAATACTCCATCTGTTCTACTGTATCTGCACTATTCTATCTGATCTACCACCTTATCTGATCGGAATAGTGGAATAGTTCTGTTCAGAATAGCTCCAGTTCCTTAGCAGTATTCTGTTCTACTGTATCTGCAATGAAATTACCGCGCAACGGCGAGCTTCGTTCTAGGTACCTATCATGTATGGCGCCGTATACAAAATGGTTGTGGCGGATTCATAACCTGGCTCTCTGCCACTCGACACCAGCCGGACGGAGCACTCCGAACAGTCGGCACGGAACACGGCTGTCAAGGGATGCCTAAGAGGAGAAACGGAACTTAGCCACAGAACGTCAATGGTCAAGCGTCAAGAAATGACAGGTAGACCAGTTCGCGCTCTTTCGGAATGAACGAACCAACAACAAAATAAAATACACAATTAAAACATTTTCATTCTATTTATTTTTGGACATTTTTACTGTGAAGAATAATTAAAAATAAAGTGCTTTCCTCAAATTGTTTTTGTGCAAAGTGTGTGACAATAAAATCCACATGGTTTGCAATGAAAATGTGACGGTAAACTTGGTATCGGTTATAAGAGATGTCGCCGTATGCGGGCTTAGTGAGTTTTTTTCATAAATAAGTAAAATAGATAATTTTTTTGTTTGTTTTTTTTTGGATTTTTTCGATTTATTATCCTAGGATGGACAAAGACAAATCCAATAAAGCAAAAATCATAAAAATCAGTCCAGCCGTTCTCGAGTTATAAGTGCAAATACCAACACAACTGTGTTTTATATATATAGATATAACTGATCGTCTTAGGCCCGGTTGTACAACGGACGTTCAACCAAAGTTCACACTGACTAGTGGTTCAAAGAAAAAACTCCTTGTAACTTCAGACTGTGAACTGTGATTGATCTTGAACGTCCGAATATGGGCGTTCAAGGGCAGTTCAACTCTTTTTTGGGTTTTTCTAACCTCACTCTCCTATGTTTGGGTTTTGTTTTGTTTGATTTTTGAAGGAACAAATTGGCTTTTGATTTTTGAATATATATTTTTTTTGAAATTGATATTTGGACTATTTTGGAATTTATATTTAACTAAAAATGGATCTTGAGTGGGAAGATATTACAGACGACGAAGACTTTTTAGAATTAGTTAATATTGTTGCACACCCTCGAGCTCCCCAGGTATTCAGAAATAGACCAGATCATATGAACATTTGGAATGATAAAGAGTTTAAGGACAGATTCAGGTTGGAGAAACAAGCTGTAAGGTTTATCATAGACGAAATATCTGAACACATTTCATCTGTTACTGACAAGTAAGTGAGATTTATATTGTTTATTTGTGTTAGATTAGATTATTTAATGTTTTATGTATTTTTTTAGAAACCATGCAGTAACACCTACTGAAATAATATGCATCACTCTACGGTTTCTAGCCACTGGATGTTTTCTGCAAGTTGTTGGCGATTTCGGAGGAATTGACAAATCAACAGCTAGCCGAAAAGTATACAGGGTGTCAAGTTAGTGCGATATCGGACAATATCTCCTTACAGAGTCATGCAAGAAAAAAAATTAAATTACAAAGTTGTTTGATACTCTAATGTGCATTAGATAAAAATATAAAATATTATTGAATATTCAGGGTGCTCCGTTTATGGGGTATGCGACAGAACTTTGTTATTTTAAATGGAAAACCCTGTATGGGACTGCATATTTGGATTTTACGTAAGATTCTGAGCAGATTTTATGTGATATACCCTATACCTAAGTTTAACTGTTTTGGAAATATTGACAGTTGAAAATTGACTTTTCGCAACTTTGACAGGCTGTAAAACCTAAACGGTTAATTTTAGACGAAAACCGATTTTATATTCCTATTTTAGATTTTCATAAACTATCATTTGACACCAACTTTGAATTTAATCCATGATTAAAAATTCCAGTTAAATTTAATCTCCAGTTAAATTCAAAGTTGGTGTCAAATGATAGTTTATGAAAATCTAAGATAGGAATGTGAAATCGGTTTTCCTCTACACTTAACCGTTTAGGTTTTATAGCCTGTCAAAGTTGCAAAAACGCAATTTTCAACTGTCAATATTTCCAAAACAGAATTTTATGTAGAATCCAAATATGCAATCACATACAGAGTGTTGCATTTAAAAAAACAAAGTTCTGTCGCATACCCCATAAACGGAGCACCCTGTATATTCAAAAATATTTTTAACTAATGCATATTAGATTATCAAACCACTTTGTAACTTGATTTTTTTTTCTTGCATCACCCTGTAAAAAGATACCGTCCGATATCGCACTAAATGAACACCCTGTATATGGTTTTAGAGGCAATTGCTAAATTGGGACGAGAATTTTTAAAAATGCCAAGAACCGAAGCTAAAATGAATATTGTCAGGCAAGGATTTTTTAGGATTGCGAGGTTACCAAGATGCATTGGAGCTTTAGACTATACTCACATCAAAATTCAATCTCCTGCAGGGGCAGAAGCTGAAAATTACCAAAACCGTGAAGGAGTTTTTTTCGTATAATGTTCAGGGTATTTGCAGCTCTGACCTCAAATTTCAGGATATTGTGTGTCGATGGCCAGTGGCGAGGCTCTGATCACGACTCCAACATATTTAGAAACAGCAGAAATGATTTCCAAAATAGAGTGTATGGCGAAAACTTCCTTGTAACTAATAGTGGATATGCAATAAAACCACATACTTATTACTCCTCTATTAAATCCTCAAACCCCTGCTGAACAATTATTTAATGAGACGCAAATAAGGACCCGGAATCCCATAGAGAGGTCCTTTGGAATTTGAAAAAGAAGATTTCCAATACTTTCCTTAGGAATACGTTTGAAACAAGAAAAAGTTGAGGCTGTTGTTATCGCTTCAGCTGTCCTCCACAATATTGCATTATCTATGGGAGATGTGGAACCTCCAGAAGTTAGTCAAGAAATTGCAGCTGCGATAGAACTGACCAACAGTCAATAATAACTTTTTGGTTGGACATGTACAGGGAGGTCTCAATAATACTGTTCGGTATACATTTATTAATACTTACTTTCAAAATCTACTGTAAATAGATAAATAAACTTTGATCACCAAATAAAACTAAACACAAAAACAAAATAAACTTACTTTTATCAAAAACCAAACAACTCTGAAATAAATAATAAACACAAATAGGGACTGAAACAGGAACTCAAGTAGAAGCTAATCACAAAACTACACACTAGAAAACCCTGAAATAAATACAAAAACTCGAAAATAACAATATAAATAAATCTTAACTAAACAGAAATAATGGTACCTCAACTGGTACATTGGAAAAAAATGATAAACTAATTATTGTACAAACAAACAATATTATTTTTTTTAGAGAATGCAGCCTATTTTGCAGCATAATCTTTTTCCAAAATATTCATCTTCAAATTGTGTTCTTTTTCCAGGCATTTCATTCTTGCCTGGGATTCTTTATCTAAAATCGTGATCTCGTGCTGATGTTTTTCCTGTAAATGTTTCAATGTCTACCCATGTTTTTTTTCATATACTTTTTCTTGAACTCCCGTGTAGTTGGATTTTCTCTTGGCCCAGTCTTCTAACCGAGCACTCAGCTGTCGGCACTGAGATTTTTTTTTTGGAGTTATATCTAAAATAGACATGCAAGTTATAAATAATGTTCCAAAATTGAATATGAAGGGATTAAAAAAAAATATTTTAGCGAGTCTTATAGTTTTTAAGTATGCATATAGGTATTATTAATTGATAATAGTACATGTGGTACTTTTAATCCCAAGACCTATAATTAAATGCTTTGCTACCTCAATGACCATAATCAAAGCTCACCTTTATTCTCAAGACTTTGCAATGGAGCAGACAATGGCTTTTTCAACATCGCCGGTGTATATGTAGCCCAGTCATTTGTAGAAGATTTTGATGAATGGGGCACTTCTTCAACTGATGCACAAAAATTAGAAGACATTTCAGGAGTAAGCTTTGGCCCAGCGTGGATTCTAGTTTTTAAGGTCTTTTTGGTTTCTGTTGGAGCACTAAAACTCTGATGTGAATCCACTGTAAAAAATATATTTCAATAAGAAACTATAGAGTTATTAAAAGAATTTCAAATAAATAATATGTATTTTAATCATCAAAAATCAGAACTGAGATCAATGATACAGAAAATATGAGGATTGTAGAATTTTTCACTAGTGCAATAGTATAGGTAGGTACAAAGAAACTTGAAAAATTGAACAGGAGAATCAAATCTGGTAATTGAATGAGCCTAAACATGAAAATGCAAGCGATACACCTATAGATCTTAATCAGTACTTACCTTCTGTTGAATAAATATCATGGCAAGAACTTGCCGAATGTAAAACATCAATTTTCCTAATTTTTTCTGGAGAATTTTCCTCTATATCCTCAAAATTCTCTGTATCAGAGAGATTATTGCCCTCAACCTGGATTATAATAGATTCTGAAACATTACCAAGACATACAAATATTTGAAAAGAATTTAAAAGTTCTTTTATGAACCTGCAGTAGCATCACCATCAAACTTGGATGTACATCCTGTTAGCTATGTTCCTAGGATTTCATGGAAGTCACTCTCAGTGTCAGCTATCACTAAATCTTTGAATGGCCCTCCTCCAGTTCCAATGACATATTTTTTATTATCAGCAAATTTTTGTTCAGCCCTTTTCTTTATGTTCTCATACTTATTTTTTAGAACTTTGGCAGTTCTATGAGGATCTCCAAGGATACTATTGAATTCAGTATAGATTTTCTGCCATGCCTCTGCTTTAATTCTGTTGTTGTCTGTATCAGATTTTTTGCACTCTATTGCATTTTTATATTTTCTCACAAGATTTATTAGGACATTTTCTTCTCTCGCCGAAAAGTTAGTTGCTCTGAAATTTTTTTTCTCCATAATTTTCATCAAATATATAATGCTAGAATTTATAGTAGACATCTATCAGTATATTATAATATATTTGTATAATAAACAGTAAAAAAATATGCCTGCCTATTATATCAACGTATCATTTGCATATGCGATCTGTTGTGTGCTGTGTGTTACCAAAATATGGAAATAAATACAAAACAGGAAAACACACAAATACACTTACAAAAAATAGACAACAACAACATCTTTGATACGTTAGGGTGTGCCTATTTTCTTCTTCTTTCAATTGTGGGCATTGCAACTTACAGTTCAGGTAAACCTGCAGTGGTACAATATTCGAAACTCTGAACCACGTTCAATAGTGAACTGCAGTTCAACAGAACTTGTGTTGAACCATTATTGGAACAACCAGACCTTACTGTCCAATTCAAGACAACGTGTAATCATATTATAGCAGCGTGTGTTACTGAAGTGAAACTTCTTCAAACATACAAGCATACCAGGATTACAAGGGGTTAAGGAATTGGTTTAATAATATAATTTATACATTGAATTTTTTTCGAAATTATTCTTATTTTACATTATCGTTATCGTCAGACATTCTTCAAGCATGAAATAATAGGCTTATGATAACTTAAATATCTGAATATCTAACAAATACTGCATCTATTGTGCTTCATGATTTCGTGGTGGATATATTAAGCGATCCCCACAACTAACTCGACTACGTGGTAGTATGCCTAGCGTTGCATGTTTTCGTTACATAGCAAATCGCATGAAACGAACTTACTCTACCGTGCGTAGAGAAGTTTCATTTCAGAAACTCCGCTTAGTCTAACATCCCGACTCGAATCACCCATCGAGTTTCCTAATGAAACTCAAAATTCAACAAGATAATGTTTTAATAAAGAAAGCTTGAAATGGTTGCCGGCCCATATCCCTGCAGGGCTATATGTTTCAATTTTATTTCATAATTGTAGTTTTTGAGTTTCCGGATAAATTTATTACTCATAGAGAGTAAAATATACGTATCAAAAGTCAAAGTATGGTTGCCACTTTTTTTCACTGCAAAAGTCCAGGTTGTCAGGATGTCAGGTGTCAAAAGGTAACTTCGAATGAGTATTTTGTAGTTATAGAGTTTCCTTAGGTATATAATTTATATGAAAATGTAGATAATTTAATTGCGAACACGAGAAGGAAGCCGAATAGAAGTAAAAGAGCGACTAAGGTGGAAGAATTTGGAATAAACAATTTTTTATAATGTTTTTATCATTATTTTTATTATTTATACACACTGCGCTTGTTAGAATACTTACTACTAGTCCAGTGAATATATGAGTTTTTCGAAAAATTTTACGAGGGCAGGCTGATTTTTTCAGAGCTGATTGGCTGAGCCAAAAAATCTGACTCCAAAACCTTGTGCGTTCGGTCATTGGTATTTTTCTTATTTATTTTTGTTCGACAAAATGACCTTTATAAAAGCTGTGAATAATTACATTCTCATCAACTTTGCCTCATGACTTTTTTGGATAGCTATTTTAGTTTCAACGCTGCGACCATTTTAGTGCGCCAGAATTTGGAAAACAATAAATAGCAAACCTGCAGATTATTGTACTCATAAGTGCGGCTTCTACAACTTACACAAAAAAAAAAATTATTAAAAAAATGTTAAATACAAAAATTGTAGGGTTTTACCTCTATTATCTTTTGCACATGTCAAAACGGGCAAATGACCGGTGCCAACGGTCATAATGGCAAACACTTGTATTTTTTGAATGGAACACCTTGTATATTTTTCGCTAGAATGATGATGATTTTTTCTTTTGATTCCAAATATACCATATAAGTATGTTGATATTTGGTTCAGCTGTTTCTATACGCTATTTAAATATGAGTACAATAATCTGCAGGTTTGCTATTTAATTTTCTCCGAATTCTGAAGCACTAGAATGGTCGCAACGCCTAAAGTAAAATAGCTAGCAAAAAAAGTCATGAGGCAAACTTGATTCAGAATGTAATTTTATCCACAACTTTTATTGAGGTCACTTTATCGAAAAAAAATAAATAAGAAAAAATGCTAATGGGGCCGAACGCACAAGGCTTTCGAATCAGATTTTTTGGCTAAATATTCAGGATACAGTCTCCAATCAGCTCTGAAAAAATCAGCCTGCCCTCGTAATTTTTTTTCAAAAACCCATATATTCACTGGACTAGTAGTATTCTTACAAGCGCAGTGTGTATAAATAATAAAAATAATGATAAAAACATTATAATGTCTACTCCATATTCTTCCAGCTTAGTCGCCCTTTTACTTCTAATCCGCTGCCTTCTACGGCGCACAGACACAGAGAACTTCGCTGTCTCGCGCTATTCTCATTTACAGTTTTCAAACTTAAAGTCTTGCGAAGCTTAGGTTCTGCCGCTTTTTGCTTTGGCTACCCATCGTGTCCGCAATTAAATTATCTATATTTTCATATACATTATATAAGGAAACTCTATAACTACAAAATACTCATTCGAAGTTAGATACCTTTTGACACCTGACAACATGGACTTTTGCAGGGAAAAAAAGTGGCAACCATACTTTGGATTTTTATATGCATATTTTACTCTCTATTGGTAATAAACTTATCTGGAAACTCAAAAACTACAATTATGAAATAAAATTGACATATATAATTTTTTATTAAAAATAGCCCTGCAGGGATATGGGCCGGCAATCATATCAAGTTTTCTTTGTTAAAACATTATCTTGTTGAATTTTGAGTTTCATTAGGAAACTCGATGTGTGAAGGTCGTTTCAAGTCGGGATCTTGTACTATATCCATTGACATCGCGTTTCGAATCTTCGCCAATTGAATAGAGAATTCGCTACTAGAAATATTTGGTAAGCATCAGTCGTTAATCTGGTTGGTTAGATTTTTATTCCAAGGCCAAACTACAAATGGGGCCAGCCTTTCCAGGTGAACCACCTTTGCCTGGCAAAATTGTACACCAAGTCGTTCAAATTCTTCAAGATATTGTCCCACGGACTTTAAAATTTCGGCTGAGACCCTTACTTAGTGATGTTTTGAATTAAACTTCAGCATTGGTAGCCGTTTGATTGGGGACTGGAACTTCTCCTTCCACTTTGGAAAACATCCATAGCAACCATGAGGTTTTTATTTCCCGATTTTCTTGTAAGAAAAGGACCTGCGATATCTACTGCAACTTCATTTCTGGGGCTTTTTCTTGAATCGCAGAGCTGCTTCTTGCATCATTCTTCATTATCTCTACGCGACAGTTTATTCAGCAATATCGATTTTTTACTTACGCCAACGTTATATTGACTGCCACTGTACCATTCACATAGTAGGTAATTTATCAAATCTTCTTTAGCTGTTTCAAGTAGCAGATTATTTGTCAATATCATCTCAAAGTCTTTGGAAACCTTGTCCACTGATCTTGATGCGCCCCTGTCAATGGTCAAATCAAATTCCTTGCAGTTCACAATTCCGCTTGATGAAGGACACACTTGATTTAATGGCATGAGAATCAGTAATCGCCAATGTTTCCTTTACACTGGCGCGGTTGCGTTGATATCTGGAGCCATTTACTTCCCCAGCTTCGCGGTATCCTAAATGAAAACTACCTGCTCCTTGTACATTATGTCAAAACCTTCGCCTATTGGCCAGATGATTCGTCACTAGTGATGAAAGTCGATCGATAATTAGCTCGACTAGATTATTTATTATTCGTTCAAGACCAATCTCCAGATTCAAGAATCCTATAGTCCCCGGGCATAGGGATTACAGGTGTCGATCATTTAAACCCGTATGTCGTGCTATACGGGTTTAAATCCTATACCTGGTATTTTATAACAATATCAAGTATGTATAGGTACTCACCATATAAAAGTTTGCCTCTTTTACAATCATTATTGAAAACACCACTTATGAGAAGATATAGGTATAACGTACCTACATCATTTAGTTATTAAAAAAAGAACATTTTCAAAAATCTTTTCCGAAACAATATATTCTTCATTTTTGTTATTTTCTTATTTATTATGTGCATTCGTGTATATCTGCATTAGACCAGTCAAAGTATCTCTTACCAAATAATAAGCTTTTAAATCAAAGGTAGGGCCTCCCAGGGGAAGTTAAGTCCCTTGCCGCAGAGTATAATCTCTGGAAAATCCGCTCAGCGGCAGTTTTTTTAGTTGCTTCGAGCAAAATTATTTTATTCACAGTAAGTACACTTTTATTAGATTTGTTCGTTGTTAGTGAGTACTTTGGACTTTCGGAACTATATCGAGAAAATGCAAATTACCAATGGCCATTTTTTGAATTTCTATTTTATGAGCTGGAACTAATGCAGAAAACAATATAAAAAAGAAAAAAGTGACCGCGTCAAGAATATTCGAATAATTTGGCGCTCAATTTTAGGGTATATTCGAAGATTTATTCTCAGTTTTAAAGTACGAGCTTGATTTAAAATATCTAAAGGGCAAACCGCAACAAAGTAAACTCCCCAAAAAAAAGACATTGGACAGCCATATTTCATTTAAATTGCATTCAGTGACCATCTACAACGTCAGAAAATGTAAATGTTGGCCACAGTACATGTCTAACCCTTAGAAATGCCTCATTTACCTTTGGTTACCCTAAATAGCGGCCCCAAATAGACTAGAGGGCAGTTATGACTCCTCATCTTTAGAAGTGGCGATGATAAAAATAAATGACTCTTATAGATAATAATGTTTATTTGGATGCGTGAATAATCAGATAAATAGAGCTTAAAAATATTGAACCTTAGATAGTTCTTTATTTTTTGTCATCGTCTCTATTTTCTTGGTCATTTGAGTTTAATTGAAACATGTTTTCTTTCAACTTTCCTTAAATTGGTGAACATAATTTCCGATATTTAGTCAATACAGTCTCCTAGGTAAGTTTGGGTTAGAATGTCTTGTTATGTTAATGATATCCTTGAGTTTAATACGTACCAAGACGGATTAATTTCAGACTAAAAGTTTAACGAAAAAC